TTTGCCCACCGTCATCTGTCAAACCTCCCGCTGCCTAACCTCCTAGAATTGTCTCATACAATACAGCTGCAGCAAAGTTTCTGCAGCGTGTGGGCATTCAATTGGTTATATTTTGTAGCTTTATTCCCTGTCTTTTTCCCACATCTACTTTCTCTCTCTCTCTCCACATTTCTCCTCTCCCTCCCTTCCCTCTCCCCCGCTCCCTCCCTCCCTCTGTCTCTCTCATCGTCCTTCTCATCCTCCCTCTCCCTCTCTCTCTCTCTGCTCCCTCCTCTCCCCCTCCCTCCTCGGCGTATGCAGCAAGTTGACTGTATGGACCCCCATTAACCAGACCAGAGTGTCGCGCATCCTCTTTACAGGGCACCTGCACGATGGACAGCGCCACCAACTTCCCTGTTGCTCCTGGTCCGAGCCCCCCTGATCGATCTTCATGATCCACACACATGCAGACGCTTCCCCTGTGTTCTCCCTGGGTCAGTCCCCCACTGCAACTGCACTAGCCACTTCATTAATCTACACTAAATGTCTACACATTCTGTGTGCCTTCCATGGTCTGGCCCCACTATCATAATCCTACCACAATGTACTCTGCAGTTTAGATAGCTCTCCTGTTGCCCCCTGTCAATCCTCACTGACACGCACGTTCCTACTACCACAATTCACTATGCAGTTTAGACACTCCCTTTTGTTGCCCCATGGTCAGCTCTCATTGCACTCTTGCTTCAAGTTTTCCCAAATAGGCTAACAGCGAGCCAGTAATAACTTACCTAAGTAATCGACTGGTCTTGCAAACTACACTAAAATCAATACTGTCGCTCAACCTGGTTTTAATTACGTATCCGTGGACGTGTGTCTGTGTGTGTTTAACGTGCGTTAAAATGTCCAACCTGTACATTTCATCATGTACTTTTAACTTCTCCTATAAGGTTTCTCCACATTGTTAATTCCACTACACTATAGCAACTGTACGACGCAAGTCACAGAGCTTGTGCGGTTTCTATACACACAGTAAATTCGTGGCTGTGGCATTTTTCAAGCGTGGCATACCTTCCAGATTATATCTTGCCCCAATCCCTAGGCCAGGCTTTGTCCTCTAAGTATTGACTCACTCGTCGTCTTCAGATGTCAAAACTCGCCTGCTATATGCAACATAGGCGTTTTTTGCTTGCTTGTCACTCTAGTTACTCTCACCACTTGTTTCATTACCGTCGGCTCTACTCTACTTTCCCCTACTTCCCGCCCGCCTCGTGTGTCCAGATGGCAGTAACTTATCTACGGACACAACTACTCTCCCTGGGGGGCGACTTCCTCAAACGCTACTGTTTTATCCTTGCCGGCCCGTACTATCGCTGCCAGACTGCGGCTCCGACTGACGAGAACAACAACGGCACATCATCCACTGTGAAACGGCCCGCCCTCCATCATCAGCGTGCAAGCACCTTAACAAACCCTCCCTGCTCGGCCAACGACGGGATATCACGTGTGCTGTCCTTCAAACACTGCACCTCGTAAGACGTCACTCTACCTCATACCCATTTGTAGCTCATTGGTAGAGCACTCACAAGCCTCTAGACTGCAGAGGGTCATGGGGTCCAATCTTTTTTTCCTTCAGTATTCCTGAGTGTAGTTCTGTTGTTTTTGGCCCTTGCGACCTCATTGCAAATAATGTATAAGATAATGGAAAGGGAGATTAAGAGGTTACAAGATGGTTTTGCAAAATGCTTAAAGCCTCCCTAAGTCCATCACAGTAACCCTATATTGTCATCTGGTATGCCCCTCTCTCCCTCTCAATCTCTATATGGGGTTAAATTTTTGCGATGGTTTATAGTACTTTAGTCCAGTGTGTGTCTGTCTGTATATTACCGCGGCCAGTAGCTGATAGCCTAACAGAGTTCAGGGGCTTACACTGGCTTATTTTATAATTACATCTTTGTAAAACTACTGCGTTTCAAACTGTAGTGTGTTAAATCGCCCAAATCTAAGGAATTCTCTCGTTTTTGTGCACTATTGAAAGTACAGAATTTCCCCCTGTCTCGTCCCGCACACATCTACAGTGACTCCTACATCAGGCATGGCCGCTCAACTCCCTCCGCTTCTCCTTCCCCGTTCCTGGAGCTCGAAGTTCCACTGCGAACGAGTTTGTCACCAGACTGCACAGCAAGACGGACGATCCTCGTGCCAACCCCAGTCTTCTTCACCCCCACTATCTCCACTACTTTCAGCTTCCGGAACAATGATAGCCTGCTTCCAGTTGAGCCAACCACGAATGCATACCCCCACCACTCTTCCTTGGTTTTTTAAAACTATGTATCTTCTCCAATGATTTTCTTTCTCTCCTAATGTTAATCATACTGCTACAATTTTATCGGCTAAACAATTTGCATTGTAGATACGCGCACAATCATCACAATTTTTATTGTATGTAGCATTACCTGCTGTACGTTACAGATGCTATGAGACCTAGCGAACGCAATGTTGGTCTAGCAGCAAATGCGAGTGTGTAATGAGGGTTAATGGTATTTATGAGCTACGTAACACGATGGATGGGCAGTGCCATCCTTGGATGTAGAGGGTACCTCTGAACCAGGGACAACTAGGAGGCCAACAAAGAAAGTTGTCCCTGTAGAGAGGTCGTACCTCTGAGATCTCGAGGTCGAATAGCACAGTGGTTAAAACAGTGTCCTTTTAGAGAGGTTGTCCGTATCTTGGTGGTCCCTTGTCGAGGTGCCACCACCAAAAATTGTGCATACTCGCTCACCATTACAATTCCAGCATGCTTGAGTGGAGTGGTGCCTCGCGACAGTGTGGAGTAGAACCCCAGTTCAATATATGGGTGCGTACTTTAGTCCATCGTGCGGCTCATCGTATGTCATTGCTAGAGTTATCTCCTTAAAACACATGACTGGCGCAGAATGTGCACGTAGATAATTACTTGTTGACATGGACTATACTGCGAAATGCTCCTTTTTTAGTGAAAAGCTACTGTCACAAACAAGAAATCAGTTCCCTGTCTCACTCCCGGCCTCGCAGACCGGCTGAGATCTCCATCCTCGAGTTGAAGATTCCACGATGTGGTAGTGATCAACACACCTCAATCTCGGAGTACCCGACCACAGCTTCTCCAAGAGATCAAACACATTGAGCACATGTTAGTCCACACACTCTGCATTAGTTTTCTACTAGCTGTGAGAAGTCAATGAAGTAGTTTTTACCAATTGATTGCAAGTAGTTCTTTACCTCAGGATGGTCCTTTGTCGCTAGAGCTGACAACCAAAGTAATACTAGATGGTGGTTGAAAGTTCAGTGCCTCTCAAGGAAATGTATGACTGTGCACCCGTGAGTATCGGTCACATATGAAGGAGAATTTTGGTCACAGCACTCCAGCAAACCTATCTCCATCAAATGTGTGGCCGAGAGTCAAGTTCCGCACAGATTTTCTCGTGCAAATTCTCTACAACCGTGAATCACGAATGCTCTCCCTTGAAAGTTCCCCTAATTTCCCTGTGTCTCTTTTCCTCTCCCACCTACCCCTCCCCTCCGACATCACTAATAAACGAACCAGACCTCACCCACTCTCAACTCACCCCCATCCCTGGGTGGACTGCAGTACTGAGGGAGTGTGCTACAGGATCAAACAGAGACTCCAGTCGTACAATATTGAGCCTGTCGCTGGCCCTCCTCGTCAGGAGAGCAGTATATGCCAGTGTCAAAGGTACGTGACCGTATATACTGTATGTCTTGATATTGGCGATTGAGGAGTGCAGGATCCAACCGTAGTCGTCCCCAGGTGACACGGGAAGCGGTGGTGCTGCTGTCCGAACGTAACGATTTACGGGACTTGTATATGTCATGCCGCAAGCGCATGTGCACACCGATTTTAAACTTTTTTCCGCGTGTGCTGTACCTGTTGCTTTGCTGTCCATCTCTCTGTGATATGTATGAGAGAAACTAGCAACTAAAACATCCAGAGATTGGAGCCGCTACATGTGGAGTGTACGTGTGCTGTTTATTGTCTCAGGGAGAGAGAGACGCATTCCGAAGTCGTATCAAGCTGCTGAAGGAGAGAAAGTGGGCAGGGAGGCTTCTCCTGGAGTCGGTGGGGAGGAGTATGAGCGACGAGAGACAGGAGGCGAGTTTGCCGCTCTCCCGCAGGACGGTATCGCCGCCGATAGATAAAGAGAGAGCGTCTCACGAGTTTGTCAGCTGCTGGAACATTGAGTGAGGGTGCAATATTGTAGTAATAGTTATTGGCGACCGTAGCCCTAGCCCTACCTAGTCTGAATGCGGGATTTTTCTGTGTTGTGACCCACACTGCTGCACTGCACATACCATAATGTTTTAACATCATTGTTAATACGCGCGAAAATTGAACTGCTCGTGTTTGCTTCCCACAAAATGACCTGCATTACGTTTTGTTTTCTCTTTCTAACAAGGGATACAATACAGCCCTCAGCGTTCTCTCGCAGTCGCGTTCTAGTATCATACTGCCATGGCGTTCTAGCCATAGCGTTCTAGATAATACTGTCCATAGCGTTCTAGTATACCTACTTTAGACTACGGCCATGCGTTCTAGTATAATCCCGACCGCCATAGCGTTCTAGTATAATACCGCCATAGCGTTCTAGTATAATACTGCCATAGCGTTCTAGTATAATACTGCCATAGCGTTCTAGTATAATACCGCCATAGCGTTCTAGCCATAGCGTTCTAGTCATAGCGTTCTAGTATAATACTGCCATAGCGTTCTAGCCATAGCGTTCTAGTCATAGCGTTCTAGCCATAGCGTTCTAGCCATAGCGTTCTAGTATAATACTGCCATAGCGTTCTAGCCATAGCGTTCTAGTATAATACTGCCATAGCGTTCTAGTATAATACTGCCATAGCGTTCTAGTATAATACCGCCATAGCGTCTAGTCTTATTATAATACGCCATATAGCGTTCTAGAGTATAATACTGCCATAGCGCTTCTAGTAGTATACATACTGCCATACGCGTTCTAGCCATAGCTGTTCTAGTGCTAATACTGCCATAGAGTTCTAGCAGACACTAGCAGTCTAGTATAATACATGCTCATAGCGTGTCTAGCACATAGCCGTTCTTAGTATAATACTGCCATAGCGTTCTAGTATAATACTGCCATAGCGTTCTAGCCATAGCGTTCTAGTATAATACTGCCATAGCGTTCTAGCCATAGCGTTCTAGTATAATACTGCCATAGCGTTCTAGCCATAGACGTTCGTAGTATAATACTGCCATAGCGTTCTGCCACGTAGAGTTCTAGTATAATACTGCCATAGCGTTCTAGCCATAGCGTTCTAGTCATAGCGTTCTAGCCATAGCGTTCTAGTATAATACTGCCATAGCGTTCTAGCCATAGCGTTCTAGTATAATACTGCCATAGCGTTCTAGTATAATACTGCCATAGCGTTCTAGTATAATACCGCCATAGCGTTCTAGTATAATACCGCCATAGCGTTCTAGTATAATACTGCCATAGCGTTCTAGTATAATACTGCCATAGCGTTCTAGCCATAGCGTTCTAGTATAATACCGCCATAGCGTTCTAGCCATAGCGTTCTAGTATAATACCGCCATAGCGTTCTAGTATAATACCGCCATAGCGCCACAGACCACATACCCAGATGAAGCTCTAGAGCACTGTAAGTTGAGGTCTGGCCAATCATGTACTTATGCACACAGTAGCACAACAAACTGTTGTCTGCTGGACCAACATTACTACAGAGAACACACGCGAAATATTGAACTGCTTGCACCGTAATGTTGTTCTATGTACGTGATTCTAAATACCGCGCACAACGCTCTCGAAATATTGCACTTCTCGCACTCACTCGCCAACAATGCATTGCATTCCCCTATAGGCATGTATATACTCATCTTACGCTTCCACCTCTCAACCCACACACATGCATACACACACACACAAAGACTGGAGGGTCTGGACAGCAAGATCAGAGTGTTCCACAGTCGCAGCGGGGTCTCCCGCCCTACCAGCGACCGTGACAGTCCGTTCACTCCGATGGCCGCGGAGATCCCGGCGTCTCGCGGGGCCACCCCCCGTCTCCTGCCGCGGCCAGACCACGAGGACAACCTCCTTCTCAACACTCCTCTCTCCAGTCCTCCCGACTCCTCCATTGAGGACAGCAAGGTCCCCGGACCCAGCCTCAACAGAGGTAATATACAAGTGAATCGTCACTGGTATATGCGCTGAGTGTATGCACTTAAGAGACAGAACTGTTTGACTTGAGAGCCTCCACTCTTCAGTTTTACAGCTTAGGATAAGTCTCTTGTTGTGTTTGCTGTGTGCAGCGGGCATATGCTTAGAGTAAGAGTCTCTGAAGACACACACAAGTGTATATAGACACGGATTAGGCCATACGTTTGGTGCATTACAAGATGAGCTACCTGGGTGGAGGAGTTAGTTGCTGTAATGTATAACTTGGACAAACTACATAACACAAACTTAACCAGGTCAAGAAAGCCGTCCGTGCCAGCGCATAACACAGCATGCGGCCTTATCTCTCTACTAAAAATCAATTGTACAGAGGCGGGGGATGTTGCTCCAGTGACGCTCGCTGATCCGGCAGTGACTGACCCGGGACTCACCCCTGACTCCCAGACAGAGGTCGGTGAGGAGGCAAAGGCCTCGGGAGACACCCTGTCCACTCAGGACAGCACGAAGAACTTCTCCTCAAACTCAGACCGAATCATCAGCTCCACGGAGGACATGTCGACTTTCGACTCTCGCATCTCTTCCAATTCTCTGTCGGGGGAGGGAAGAGGAGGAGGGGAGATGGAGAAGGAGATGAGTGATGCTGTGGCTCCTGCGAAACTGACCACTGTCGCTGTGGCACAGGCAAACAAGACCAAAACGGGACCAAAGTGTGGCGAAAAGTCGGTTGGAGTGGCACGTGGTGGTAGTGATACATCGTGAAGCTTCAACTTGTCATCCGTCATGTGGAAGAGGGAAAGATGGTCCAAATAGAGCCCCCTCCTCTGAACCACAAGTGCCGGTGTCTACACACAAAGAACCCACAAAGACTGATGCGGAGTTCGACAGGGATGCTGCGAAAGGTAGTGAGTATTCTCCAATGGAGCGTCGTATGGATGAGAGAGGTAGTCACGGGACAAATGTGACACCCACCATCGTCGTGAGCGAGGACGAGCTGACGCGGGTGGCGGGAGGCCCCTTTCGTGGTAGTGAAGGGGAAGTCCCCTGTCGGCCGTATGTGGGAGTGACTCACCGTTCAAGAGTGATACCGCAACTGACAGTGAAGGTACTGTCCAGTACTGTGAACAAACATGCTGCATGTTTGTTCACTTTGTTACCTAGTTTCGGCTGGGTCTAGTATATAATCAATTGCCCTGTCACGCCGTGCCGCGTTGCGAGGATAGAGTCCATCTCTTTCTTCGTGGCACGACATGATGTGGCCAGGTGCGACTTTAGTGAGCCTAGCCTTATACCCACCGGGCACAACACCCTATCTCCAGCCAACCTGATTCCTGGGGAAAGGCCCGTTAGGAAGAAAAGGACATCTGTCTTCTCTCTCCTTCACTTATTGATTGATTCTATAAGCTCTCTCTTTCTCCCATAATTCTGATCCCTCAGTATTTAATCTCTCCTCTACCTCTCACTTTCCTTTGGGTCCTCTCCACTATCTGTGTTTTCTGTCGTCCCTCTCTCCTCCTCTCTCTCCCTCCCCTCTCCCCCCTCTCCCTCTCTCCCCAGGAAAGGGTGGTTACCACAGTGTGCGGACACTGGTTGTTAGTGGACCAGGTCAGAAATCTGCCCCACCTCCAGTGGGGGAGGAAACCCAGCCTGATGGTGTCGGCCTTTTCAACAGATTCAGAGGTACATGTAATGGTTAACCCGAACCAGTCCTCGTGGGTTAACCGTTTTGTAGTCCAGGAACACCGTTAGGCAGTTCTAGTGAAGGTCTACACGTTGCCAATCACACACGCTGCAGACCGTCCGAACGCTGGCTACAGTGCTCGTCCGCAGTCCCCGGGACCGACACTCGGCTTAAGCGAGGACTTCTTCACAGCCTGTAGAACGGTAGATCAGCTACCACACAAAACGTCGTTTTTTTGCTTTTTTTCGCCGTCTCTGTCGGTCGGATACTCATACACTCCGGTGGATATGAATATCCCCAGGAAGTGGTCTGGTGCAGTCAGTGGTACAGAGTACAAGTGCGTACACGGCACTTTGATTTCTATGGCTTCTGGGCATGCAATGGTGTTACGCAATTTTGGCAGGTTATGTGCATAAACATACCATTCTGCATGGAAAGCGCAAGCAAACTATTGTAGTATTCATGCAATTTTTACGTATCGAGGCATCATGTTAAATAGCTACTTTTACTTTTGAATATGTAATATAGCTTCTCCTTTGCCAAACTCTGTCAAAAATGCATATTCTTCTTCCGTCCCTCTCCACCACCAGTTACCAAGGACTCAGAAGTGAGAGATGATCCCAACAAGTTTTATCTCGTCGATCCAGCAGACATATCGTCTGCTATTTCAACACCCGCAAACAGGTTAACTAATGCAGTGTTTTGTTGGCGTGTTAATGTGAGTATTCGTACATCGCTATAGCCAATTCTAACTACTAGGTAGGCTCACTTTGCTCGCTAATTACGGCAACCTGCAGGATGTGCTCAATATATGACTCACCTCAAGTATGTGTAGCAGAATTAGACTTGTCATTACGAGTCATCAATTCATGATTGAGAGCTATCAGCAAACATTTTTCTTAGCAAATTGAGACATTAATTATGGTGGGACAAGCAATCCACATCGAACTGACAAAATTTTCTTCTGCAAAATATTCCCGTATGCTTTCAAAACTGTGAAGGGAAACTTGCATTCAGCAGCCGTTGCAAGTAGTAAATGAGTGCGCAGTTAGTGATTCAACTTACCACACATATGTATGTATGTATGTATATAGTAGTCTTGATCAGTTGTGTGGTGTTCTGGTACCACTGCAGGACTCCGGAGCTACCCCAGTCTCATCACCATGGTCACCATCATGTGTCACGCTCCCACCGACGACAGGGGAATCCCCCAGGTCGTAAGAACGGCTCCAGCTCTGCCCCGCCCCCTCCTGATTCTGATGGTATATTATTATGTACATACGTATGGAGCTTCTATTATGTTTGCATTCTATAAAATAAAAGAATTGCAAGTTTTTGTTTTTTGCATCTGCATTCACTTTAACACACTCCGTGGTTGTATATTGAACGAATATAATCTTGAAAAACGTGAGGTGAGCCGACTACTGCTATATGGACAGATGGGCAGATGATTTATGTTGTACTTTGATTAAGAACTGTTATACTATGAACCCACACATTTGAAGTGTGCATATACTTCTGCAGGACGTGCCAGTAGAGGAATGAGAGAGAAGGAGCGCGGCGGCGTTCCCATCCGTCCCTTCCAGAAGCTGCCCCCGCCCTTTGACCTAAACGAACACCACAACATGCACAGGTCCCTCAAGATACCAATCGCCATCTATGAGAAGGAGCCGACCTCGCTGATTGCCTATGCCCTCAGCTCGCGGGAGTATGCCCAGGAATACTGGGCCCTGGTGGAGCGGAGACCAGTCATCCTCCAGCCTACGGAGAGGTTACTGTCTCGCCCCTCCAGCCCCAAAGTGTGAGTTCTGCCTGTATGGCGAACGCCATCGCTTCAAGAGCTCTATACTGTGACACTACACCAAAGAACCAGTTCGTGTGTATATATAAGGCTGACTTTTAACAGCCTGCATTTCGTCTTTTGATCCTCATATCCACTTTTATGATATGCATTACCACCACTATGCATCAGTGGTTTTTGAATGAATCGACTTTCCCATCATCAATCGTCTCTCTCCTCTCTCCTGTCCCTCTCACCTCTCTCTTCCCCAACCCTCTCCCTCTCTTTCCAGTCCTAAGAAGCAGGTTGACCCTTCATTGGTCCAGTTACCTCCACCAACCAAAACATCAGCCCTCAAACAGCATACCAGGTACACATACACTGCTGTAGGCATAATGCAATATGCATGTACATAGTAGGAAACTTGATAGGCCTTCATACTGTAGAGAACACCTTTGAAAATGGCTAAAGAATTGATGTGTGTTGTTGAAGAGCTTGAACTAACGCATAATGTCGACTCATGCAATCACTTGAGCTGCAGCACGACTGCATGTACACACTATTTGTTGTTCAAAGGAAGATATCTCGTTGCAGGAGTTGAGGAAGAAGGGGCCACTGAATGCCATGAATGTGTTCTCTGGTCTCTCGGTTGCCTCTGATCGACCTGAGCCTCACGACAGGTCCGGAGACGACTCAAGGTCGGTCCACTGTGAACTAACTAAGGCAAACGTAATTGAAAAAACAATCTCAGTCGGAATCACGGTGTGGGTGAGACACACACTAGACCCACAGTAATTTACAAGCAGCAACCTTTCTGCAGATTGCTTGTTACGAAGCTCAGAGCTAGCACGTCTCCTCGGAAGATGAGTGAAAGTTGAGGTTGTTTGTTAAAAAAGTTTTTTTTAAAGTTGTACGACAATACCCAAGTATGCCAAGTTTTGCAAATGTTACGAAGTATTCGTCCAAATGTTCCGACAGGTTTTTTGCAAAAGTACAGTGTTTACACGTTGTACAGTAAGCTTTCTTTGTAGGTCGTACTACTACAGGCGTATTGAGGCGGCTCTATCGAGCAAGTCGAGTCACAGCTCGTCCAGTACTCCCAGCAAATCCAGCCAGACCAACTCCTCCAGTTTCCCGGCTACAGACCAGTCGGCCCTCCAGGAGGACGGGGAGGGGTTCCGGTGGAACGCAACGGGGGAGCACGCCTCCACATGGCTCGTCCTGTAAAGGCGGGCACATCTCTCTCGGTGAGTGTGTCAACCCACCAGAGAGAGAGAGAGAGGGAGGTAGCTGCTCAGCTGTTGGGTCGGTAATTTGAAAGATGGGGTGTGAACGCTTCGTGACGCTGCCGTATTATTGGCGAGCTAAGCGAGCCTACCTAATACGGATTTGTATGTCAGATAGGCCTGTGATTCTAAATGCACGTCGTGAAAAATACTCGTGTTCACTTTTGGTTCTAGTATACTAAGACATTGTGTATTGTGTTATAATTTACAGCCGTGTCTGTTATGGTGTTCTTAAAGTAACGTAACGAAGAGTTTACTGAGTCCTTATTGTATTACAGAGTTCACGGCTCCTGATCGTACATCGAGCATCTTCTGCAAGGTTTACTTTGCGGAGGAGTTTCAGCATCTCAGGGAACTGGTGTTCCCCAGCGGTGAAGACAGGTCAGTTGAGGGAGTGAGGAAGAGGGAGAAAGGGGAGGAGGGAGAGGGGAGGAGGGAGAGGGGAGAAATTGAGTAGCGTGATACGTACAAGGAGAAAAGGTTCCAGAAAGGGCATAAGTGAAAGAGCTCAGTGTGTCCTAATAAGTGTTAATACGAACTCACTGTCTCTCTGGGTAATGGAGAAATTGAGTAGCGTGATATACATACAAGGAGAAAAGAGGAATTGGTAATGGGAGAGTCCCAGAAAGGGCATAAGTGAAAGAGCTCAGTGTGTCCTGTTACGAACTCACTGTCTCTCATAGGTTCATCCGGTCGCTCTCTCGGTGTGTCAAGTTTGATGCAAAGGGCGGGAAATCAAGGTCCACTTTCTGTAAAGTCATTGGTACGTTGTTTCTCACTGTTACGTGATGTGACACTCGCCGCGTGTTACAAACTGCCCCATACAGACGATAGGTTCATTATGAAACAGATCAAGGCCGTGGAGATATCGTCTTTTGAGCAAATTGCTCCTCTTTACTTTGACCACATCACCAGTGCACTGGAGAGCAAGGTACAGTATACTACAAAATGTGTACTGGCCTATTTGTTTTATACAAGCCTATCTTTTGCATCTTTGTGCACAGCAATGTGGATAATGCATGTGGCTTTGGATCCTCACACACTTACATACTATGAATTTGACCGTACACCGTTCCTCACTCTATCCTTCACCCTTTCATCTCATCTCTCTCTCTCTCTCTCTCTCTCTCTCTCTCTCCCTTCTCTCTTTCCTCTTCTCTAACTGTCTTTCTTCCCTCTCTCCCTCATCTCCCTCTCTTCTTTCTCTCTTCTCTCCCTTCTCACATTCCCTCTTTTCTTTCTCTCCCTCCCTCCCTCTTCCTCCTCCTTCTCTCCCTCTGCAGCGACCGCTAGCACTGGCCAAGATTCTTGGCGCCTACACAATAGGCTACAGGAACACGAGGACAGGCAACTCCAAGAGACTAGACGTCATTGTAATGGAGAACCTTCTCTATGGCAGGAAATCCAGCAAGGTAGTGCAACACTAGCCTCATTGGTCAGACGTTTTGTCAGACTTTAACACTTAGTCTTTCGTTCATAAGAAACTACGCGGATTACGACGCTGAGGCCCTGGGGCGATGGTTTTCCAAGGGAAGTGAGGACGCTACTGCGGCTTTCTTTATTCCATGACCCATCGTCCTAACTATTGTAGAGTGTGGCACGCAAAACATGAAAAATGTTCGAAAGACTGGGGGGGTGAGCACTATCCAATATAGTTCCTCGATAGTATTCCTCGTTCTACTTAGCGTTCCTCCTCATCTTACAGAGGAAACTAGCTTTCTCCTATTTGAACATTTAGATTTTAAACTTTCTTTCCTAAGTCTCCATAACCATCAAACATCAACTGTCCGTACCAGCGCTTACACTCTTCATGCCTACACACTTAGGCTGGTTCACAAGTGGTAGCGTAACATGCGGACGGAAAAACCGCTGTATCGTGAACTAGTTTACGTTGGACCTCAAAGCTCCGATCGGAGCCTGTGTGTGGAGCTACGCTGGAAATAACTAATAGGCTTAACCTATTGATGTTACCCGCTGACAACACTTTGCACTTAATTATTCATCTGGTGTTATGCAAATTGGTTCTGTCTAGCAAAGACCTGTGAACCCACACGTGTCGTATTGAAAAAATTTTAATTCCGCCCCTTTGCAAAAATGACTGATATTATGATTACCCGTGATGGGTGTATAGTTATAATTATTTCTCTGGACATTGTTAGGTGTTTGACCTGAAGGGCTCCATGAGGAGTAGATACATTGACCCCAGCAAGGACAGCAGCAACGACGTTCTACTGGACGAAAACTTCCTCAATCGTACGTTAGCCTTGTCTAATAGGGTGCTACCGGTGTCACAATCCATGCATAGCACAATCCATGCATGCAAACTTCAACGAAGCCGCGAGTCAAAGGCAACGTTAACAAGTCAACTACACCTAGGGAAACTCATTTTCTAAAAAGAAGAGCTGCCCTGGGTGGAATACTAAGTTTTTTGTAGGCTCCCCATTGTCTAGCGGACCAGCCCAATTCCACCCTCGAAAAGCAACTGGCCGCACGTTGTAAAAAAGGTCCTTCAAAAGTGCTCATGGTGCCCGATTTCCTAAGCATTGCAGATGAAACACTTAGATACTATTGCTTGCCTACTAATATAGTGTGTGGTAGGACCTGACCTTCCCTTCCTGAACTTAGCCTCACTGTCCACACATTAGAATGATGTAATCAAAGAATGCTGTGTCCCTCGTGCAGACATCTGCTACTCTCCAGTCTACGTGTATCCTCACTCAAAAGCAGTCCTCATGAGAGCCATTGACGAAGACACGAGGTTCCTGGCAGAGAACGCCATCATGGACTACTCCCTACTCACCTGCATCGATGACCAGACCGGGGAACTGGTGGTGGGGATCATTGGTGAGAGGTCTATAGTAATGGTGTGGTAGTAGAGAGAGTGAGAAACTGTGGTGGGAATCATGTCATTAGTATGTTGTGAGGAGAGAGAGTGGAACTGTGGTGGGGATCATTGGTGAGAGGTTATAGAATGGTGTGGTAGGAGAGGGAGCGGAGAACTGGTGGTGGAATCATTGGTGAGAGGTCTATTAGTAATGGTGTGGTAGGAGAGAGAGAGAGTGAGAATGGTGGGGGATCATGGTGGTGAGAGGTCTGATAGTAAGGTGGTGTGGTTAGAGAGATGAGAGAGAGCGGAGACTGGTGGTGGGAATCATTGGTGAGAGATCTATTAGTAATGGTGTGGTAGGAGAGAGAGCGAGAACTGGTGGTGGGAATCATTGGTGAGAGGTCTATTAGTAATGGTGTGGTAGGAGAGAGAGCGAGAACTGGTGGTGGGAATCATTGGTGAGAGGTCTATTAGTAATGGTGTGGTAGGAGAGAGAGCGAGAACTGGTGGTGGGAATCATTGGTGAGAGGTCTATTAGTAGTGGTGTGGTAGGAGAGAGAGCGAGAACTGGTGGTGGGAATCATTGGTGAGAGGTCTATTAGTAATGGTGTGGTAGGAGAGAGAGCGAGAACTGGTGGTGGGAATCATTGGTGAGAGGTCTATTAGTAATGGTGTGGTAGGAGAGAGAGCGAGAAACTGGTGGTGGGAATCATTGGTGAGAGGTCTATTAGTAATGGTGTGGTAGGAGAGAGAGCGAGAACTGGTGGTGGGAATCATTGGTGAGAGGTCTATTAGTAATGGTGTGGTAGGAGAGAGAGTGAGAACTGGTGGTGGGAATCATTGGTGAGAGGTCTATTAGTAATGGTGTGGTAGGAGAGAGAGTGAGAACTGGTGGTGGGAATCATTGGTGAGAGGTCTATTAGTAATGGTGTGGTAGGAGAGAGAGCGAGAACTGGTGGTGGGATCATTGGTGAGAGACCTATTAGTAATGGTGTGGTAGGAGAGAGAGCGAGAACTGGTGGTGGGAATCATTGGTGAGAGCTCTATTAGTAATGGTGTGGTAGGAGAGAGAGTGAGAACTGGTGGTGGGAATCATTGGTGAGAGGTCTATTAGTAATGGTGTGGTAGGAGAGAGAGCGAGAACTGGTGGTGGGAATCATTGGTGAGAGGTCTATTAGTAATGGTGTGGTAGGAGAGAGAGCGAGAACTGGTGGTGGGAATCATTGGTGAGAGGTCTATTAGTAATGGTGTGGTAGGAGAGAGAGCGAGAACTGGTGGTGGGATCATTGGTGAGAGACTATTAGTAATGGTGTGGTAGGAGAGAGAGCGAGAACTGGTGGTGGGATCATTGGTGAGAGGTCTATTAGTAATGGTGTGGTAGGAGAGAGAGCGAGAACTGGTGGTGGGAATCATTGGTGAGAGGTCTATTAGTAATGGTGTGGTAGGAGAGAGAGTGAGAACTGGTGGTGGGAATCATTGGTGAGAGGTCTATTAGTAATGGTGTGGTAGGAGAGAGAGCGAGAACTGGTGGTGGGAATCATTGGTGAGAGGTCTATTAGTAATGGTGTGGTGTAATAATATAGGAGAGAGAGTGAGAACTGGTGGTGGGAATCATTGGTGAGAGGTCTATTATAGTCCATTCCAGCCGAGTTGGCCACTATACTGGCGTTAATAATTTCCGCATACTATGTGCTCTGAATACGATTCGATGCTATTGTATTCGTCTTGCGGTTCCAAGTCCAATGGTACAATAATACGTGCGCATAAATATCGTAGAACGGTCAGAACGACTTACCTATAACACATACACATTCAAATGTACGGTACATCCGGTTAATCTGTATGTCCCCACACCTCAGCTCCTATCATGCTAGCATAACACTCATCCTCGTTGCAATCACTCTGTCTCTGTGTCAGTACAGACTACGTCCGGACGTTCACTCTGGACAAGAGACTGGAGATACATCCAACCCTGCAGCATCTTCTTGTTGGTATCACTTCCTTTCATTTGTGTAAATGATTTTTGGACTAGCATAAGCTCGGCCCCCACCCTTTTCGCAGTGCAGCAGCAGTGAGGGGGGAGGGGCTGCTGCACGCATAATTATGGCGGCAAGCCTCGCTTGCGCAATTTTACGGACCCCAAGGTGACGTATATACTCGGCGCGTAGCGGGCACATGGTATGTTCAACTTTGTAAGCCAAATATCGATATCATAATCACAATGCATGTAATTTTTGTTGTGCAGGAGAGTTCACTCTTTTGAAGAGATCTATCTAGCTCAAGTCAAAGGTGGAGGGCAAAGAGTAATAGCAGAACATGGCTGTATTAGAAGCTTGTAGGGTCCAGGTCTTGAAAAGTGCAGGTCCAGTTCAGCACCTTAGGAAATAAAAATGGTAGAAAATATGAGAAAATTACAGTAGGAGTAGACAAGGCCAGGAGTAGGCTTATAATAGCCTAACAATGCTATGTCAGCAGCAGGTATGAGGGTAAAAGTGCAGTATGAGTCAGCAACAGCATAAGGGCTAGCTCCTTTTTTTCTGACCAATATTATCTGTTTTCCCCTGGGAAGCTCTATACCTCTACAGGTATCTCTAAATGCAGACATCTGCTGCGTTAAGGGGCACCCCTGCTGTACTTACATTATCTGGGGCAT